TGAGGAAAACGTGGGAGACAAAGAACTCTTCAACGACCAGCAAGACCAGCACGAGTTTGTGAACCAAGGCAAGTATAGCATGGGCCTTCCTTGATGTCCTATTTCACTTTAATCAATTACTCATTTGCATGTGTCTAATTTTGATACCCGTAAGGACATCCTAGTGATTGTTTATCCTGTTCCTTGTCTCCTATGGGTTAAATGCATGTGGGTAGATTGCTAGTGCTCTAACTGAACTTGACATACATGTTGATTAATGATATTATGGAACAAAGTGAGTAACATGATTTATGACAACTGTTCCATAGGGTGAAAGTGCAAATGACCTTTGTTCATGTTGCTCTCGGCCCTCCATAAAGACTTATCTGTCGGCAAAAGCTGGGACTGACAGTGCAACCGGGAGAGTCATATGGCTCTGGCTTTAGCTCAGTAATAGGACCTTTCCTAGCTAGTTAGAGGTTACCTTTTTGGCGCAAATGGGGCTTGCCACTTTGGGTATAGGGCTGCCTCTATTCCTATGAGTATAGCTGCGATGGATTTGTGCCATAGAAAAGGGGGGTCCCTACATCTGCCTGCCAAGGAAACCTAGCGGCCCTAACTTGTTAGGGAAATCTATGAAATGGCTTCATAGTGTACCCTGCCCGCTCACCTTGGTAGTGACATGGGAGTAATTAACCCGGGCATATGGGGATCACGACTCGCGGTGAATGTGCACCACCTCTGCAGAGGGTAACAAACTGTTATAACAGCCGTGCTCACGGTTACGAGCGGCCCAGAAAACTCACAGAATAACTGGATACTTGATGATGATCTTATAAAGTTGTTTAATGATGATATATGGTACACATGACTCTGATATATGTTCTTATGGGAATTAAATGGGAGCTTAAGCATAACTTGATAATACTTGAGAATAAAAGCTTGACCTATTAAAAATGCTAACTACAGTAAACCAGAGTCTATCTTTTTTGAGCTTCATAACCCCATGTTAGCTTGGTAAGTACGGAATGTACTTACACTTGTTTATTTTCTTTACTTGGATAAAAATCCCGGATGGGTAACAGATGACAACGGGTATGAGGATTTCCCGGAGGATTATTAGGCTTGTGGTCAACCAGTTGACCTTCCCTGTTATGACGGCCACGAGAGTTTTATTATCTTTTTATTATTCCGCTGTGATGTATAAGACTAAGTTTTATTATAACTCTGATGTATGAGACACCGTGATGATACTTTATGTAATTTGTCAGCTTGTGTGTGTGATTGATTCCTGGGCACACACGAGTTTTGTGCATTCAATTTTATCCTCAAAATTGGGTGTGACAGTAGAATTCCATCTAACATCCATATCCAAGCCAAACTTTCTAGGTCTAACACCCTTGGCATTACAGTATTCCTTGAACAATGCAATTCTTTGATTAGAGGAATTTAAGAAGTTAATTGCAGTTCTAAAATCTTCTATGTAAGGTTTCAACCTCTTTAATCTAGATTTTACAATAAGATTAATGATATGACAAGCACAACGTTGATGTACAAGACTGTACTTATGGTTACTAGGATCCAAAGGATCAGGTGAAGGATCAGGACCCAAGTAACAAGCAAATAGAGGTGTCAAAGTGTTCATAGCCCTAGCATTAGAAGAAACATTGTCTAGAGTGACAGAAAATCTTGTCAATCAGACAATACTCCTCAACCACAGCAGCAATTCTTTCAGCAATGTTTTCACCAAAATATTTAACCTCAATCAGCCTAAGACCAATAACCCTTTTCTGTAACTCCCAATCAGCATTCACATAGTGAGCAACAACACTAATATAGTCCTCCTTAGCATTACCAGACCAAATGTCTGAAGTCAAAGCAATAGAAGAAGCAGCAGGTAACACAAAATTCTTAAGCTTATCACGGCGTTCAGTAAACAACTTACCAAGATCTCTAGTGGTGGTCTGTCTAGAAACCTTAGCAAACCTAGGGTTATGAGCAAGAACAATGTAATTCTCCCATGCCTGTGATTCACCTATACCTAATGGAAGGTCAAGCCTAGCAATCACCTACACAACTCAGAGCGAGCAACAGCAGGATTGTAGTCCCAGTTGTGCATAGATCCATCAGGATTGTAAGAAAGCCTAGACTGAACCCTAGCAGCATGATCAACCTTTTTCCTACAATATTTCTAATGCCTAATCAAATGGTCAGTGCTAGCAGAAGATCTAGCAGACAATCTACTCTTACATATTTTACAGATAGCAGCAGTTCGACCCTTTTGACCATTCAAAGTCTCATAGATCTCATCAAAATCAACCTAGACACCAGATTTACGCTTACCAAGGCATGAGGTACCATCTGTGCTGTTGGAGCCGACCGGTGTCCCTGTCGCCGTCGTCGATGGCACCGGCTCCGCCCCTCCACCACTGTCGCCACCGTCCAGATTGATCGGAGCAGAGCCGCTACTGACATCGATACCCAACAACGCAACAGCGTCGTCATGGATGTCGTCGTCGTCCTCAGGGAGCAGCCCTGCCGCGATCAGGTCATCGTTACCGGTGAGTGGATAGACGACATCGTCGTCATCTGCCATGGCGACCTTGACCGCGGACAGCTTATCTCTAGCACCGTTCCTCAACGGTGCACGCGGCCACCGTGCCCGGTCTATGCCACAGGAAGAGGACGACGAGGCATCGGCAACCGACCTGCACGGAGGAAAAAAACAGAGTCAGAGAGATAGAGGTACAGATCCAGAGTCAATGGAAGAGACACAAGAAGTGGAGAAGACAGATCTAGGGTTAGGGTTAGGGTTAGGGTTAGTGGAGTACCTGCGCAACCAGAGCCCGATGCCGGAGATGACGAGGGCCACCCAGAGGAGAGAGACCGATTAGAAACGACGGTGAATGGTGGAGGAGGGATGGATGGGAACACGGTCACGAACTCACATAGTTCACCGAGAGCGAGAGAGGAGAGAGGGAGAAGGGAGGAGAGAGGGAGAAGGGAGGAGAGGCGGATCGAGGTCACCGGAGTCGGGGATGACGGACGAGATCAGTAGATCACGAGAGAGAGCTCAGATTCGCCAAATCGTGGATGCACCGTAGCGAGCGAGTGGGGAACTAGGGAATGGGGATTAGGGTTAGGGGGAGCGGAGAGCGGAGCAGACGAGGAGGCGAGGCGACTGGAGACTGGAGACTGAGTGCTACTGCGCACTGCGGAGCGGGCGAGGAGAGTGGAGAGGTGAGGAGGCGAGGCGACTGGGCGAGCCGCTTGCGGCGGGGGGGGGCTGGGGGGCGGGAGGCCGGGAGGGCGGCTGGCAGGAGCGGGCCGCTGAGCTGGGCCGGCTGCTCATGAGCAGCCATGCCGCCGTGCGCCCACGTGCTGGGTAAGGGCCTGTGCACGGCCTGCTACTCGGGCAGAGCCAGCCGGGCCCGCTAGCCTCCATGCCGGGCCGTGCTTGGGCCGGGCCAAAAAGACGGGCCTTGGGCCGGGCCGACGGGCTCGGGCTGCATGGCCGACTATGCATGCATGGCTGTTCCAGAAATTATTGAAATTAAGTTTGAATGGTACTCCCCCATTCCAAATTATAAGTCATTCCAACCTTCTTTAAAAGTGAAAACATCTCCAGTTTGATTAAAATTATAGAGAGAATTATAAAGATTTATGACATCAAAGAGGTACAATATGAAAATATAATTAATAAAGAATCTAATGATACTTACTTGTATATCATAAATGTTATTATTTTATTATATGAATTTAGTCAAACTTGAGATGATTTGACTCTCCAAAAAAGTTAGAATGACTCGTAATTTGGGATGAGGGAGTAGAATGGTACTTTGAGTTGTTTGAGCCGACCTGACCCAAACAAGCCCACAACCCACAACTTCAAAGATCAAGGCGATGATTCCCTGAGAATGGAATCGCTTTGGCTTATTAGATGTGCAGTGGCAGAACCACGGGGCCAACAGGGGCCGTGCCCAACTTTTTTAATACACCCTATAAATATTCCAATTTACAGTACAACAAGGCATCAATTCATCTATTTTTTTTATCATAATATTATGATTTTTGTTATAAATACTAACTACATATGTAAAAAACATATTGGAAAAGTTGTTGGGACATATAATTATGTATATATTTATCACACTTAGATATGTCATTATATTTGTTCGGTCTCCCTTAATCAAAATTGTTGGTTCTGCCACTACAGATGCGTGTTTCCTCAAGTTTTCACGGGACAAAGAAAAGGACTGACAATTAGATTTAATGACCGGAGTAAAAGGTACTGCTAAAATAGCCACAATTACAATAATTTTTTTTAAATGATCAATTGACTGAAAATAGTTTTGTAGGGACGATGCATTACCGGTTCCTACCAAACAAAGTATCAAAACTCAAATTTCTTATTTTTGAAGTAAAACTATGCATTACATAGTATATAGTAGCTTATATGAATTGTGCAGTTTAGGTGACTGGGAGACAATAATTTTTCATGTGCTTGAAAATTAGGGAATACACTGATTATTATTAACTATAATGATCAATCTCAACCGTGTTTTTTGTCATGGTACATAGTTCGTTTTTCTAGAGAGTATAGGTGATCACTGGACTATATATTTTATTAGAAGTTGCACAATTTTACAGTACCCATATACTTCCATTCAAACCAAACTATTAAAAATCTTTATAAAAAATATACTCACTACACGCTTTAAAACATACAAGACCACCTTTAACTTTTTGGTTAAACTTTGAGAAACAATCTTTAAACTAATTAAGTAGCATATACAGGGATCTACATCACAAACAAGCCAATCACTTTATTCTGAAAAGCATACGTTTCGGGCACTTACAATAAAGAAGCCAAACATTATACAGTACTCGTAATCATCACAAATTGTCATCCTAGCGATTATTATCACATGGGAAATACCACACAACACAAACGTACTACTTTAATTAAGTCCATCTATTGGTGGCGCCAACCACCATGGATTTCTCCTGTTTGCCTTCAGTCAGCCGTGGTGGCATGACGGATTCTGTGGGCTAAAACTCCCGCAGGAGTGATCTGCACCTTTCTGCTGCAGGTACAGGTGTTTGATAGACTGTATGACAGGATGGTCACCGGAGGTGGCCTCGCCGGCCCATGTATCGCCTTCAAGCCGCCGCGCTGACGACGATCCCGAAGATGCCAGCAGCATTATCAGCACTACAACCATCAGGGGGAAAACGAACCTGGTCATCATGGCCATCTACGAATTGTGTGCTCCTGCTGCAAGCTCTGATAGTCTGATGATTGGAGAGTGGAGAAGCAAAATTTGCACTACTGCGCTTAAGTTATCTATCGGCCTGTCGTTAGCTATATATCGATCGACAGGTTTTCTGCTCGATATATGTGATGAGATTTGAGATGAATGTCGGGTGATCTGCACAGGCATATATAGGAGTTTTAAAGATTTGTGAAAACTCCAAGCGAGCTGGCTCCATCGTTATTTACGTGTGTGTGACTAAACACAGTGAGTTTAACTGAGAGCGCGAGCTACTAATTAGTTAAGTTCTCCTGCGGTGTTCCCACCTCCCAAGGGAAAACGATCCTCGCAAGTCGTAGTTTCGGGCCTTTCGGCTGACATACGGTGGGCGTGAAACGTACTACCACCGTACCATGCATTCACGTCATGGCCGGGCCGGGCCTGGTCGGTACACGACGGTCACCGTTGTGCATGCACGTGGTTGCTTGCTAGGACGCTAAGCAAAGTTGGTGACACTATAGCTCCGTGACTACACAAATGTTTTTTTACGTACGTCTCCCTCTTGTTTTAGAGGCTGTTCACTAAGCAAATTATCTCTAACTAAGGTTAAAAGACATGATAGCTTACGAATCATATCTAGAAAACCACTATTTCTAAATGCGGTTCACTTGGTAAACTATTCCTAGAAATACTTCATATAAAATAACGTCTCTGGGGCATGCTCATATCGCCCCCCAGCGCCCCCCCCCCCTGGTCCCTATCGTGTCACCGGTCCACGTTGGAGCTCTTTGCCGTGTCTACTGCATATGTATGCCTCATGTCCATCTTTGCAGTGATTTTTCTCCTACCGCAATGTTTGCTTGAGTCATCCTATCAAGCGGAGATTATACCGACATTGTTCGGCTTTTGTGGCTGATGCTTTGACATTACCATTGTGCGTCTCTTCCCCCGACGGATACTTGACCGCCCTTGATCTCTTCGCTGATACATGCTCGGCTGCCGATGTCGTGTCGGTCTCTTCGCTTGCGGATGCTTTGTTGCTAAGACCATGTTGGCTATTCCATGGTGTATGCTTTGATACCAAAGTCGCTCTGGTCTCTTCTCTAGTAGATGCTTTATCGTCGTTGCTGCTGGAAGTTTTAAAGGATTGTGAAAACTCCAAGCAGGCTAGCTCGATCGTTATTTACGTGTGTGTGTGTGTGACTAAACACAGTGCGTTTAACTGAGCGCACAAGCTAATTACGACAAGTTTAATTTAAAGCGGCTTCAAGTTCTACTGCGGTGTTCCCACTTCCCAAGGGAAAACGGCCCTCGCAAAACATAGGAAAGTAGTTTCTGTGGCTTACCATGGGCGTGAAACGTACTACCACGGTACCACCATATGCATTCAAATCAGTGCCGGGCCTGGTCGATACATGACGGTCATCGTTGTGCATGCACATAGTTGTTTGCTAGGTCACCGAGCAAAGTTTGTGACACCGTACCTCCCTAAGCAACACATACTACACAAATGATTTTTGCGTATGCCTCCTATTTCTATAAAAATTATTCACGTAGCAACAATTTCTAACTAAATTGAAAAACGGTATATCTTACGACCACCTATGGAAATCCACTATTTCTAGGAATGGCTGTCATAAGGGAATCGTCACTAAAAAATAATTTATAGAGACGGTACTCTACAATATCACCACTGTAGAAGCATTAGTATATATAGAGCTCATTTGGGGGTGAAGGGGGGGCATGATTGTTAAGGACTAGTTTGTCGGGGCTTCGGCTGTGGCTCCTCTCATGAAGCTGAAGCCAATTTAAAAAAAATGTTTGGCAAAAACGGCTCTGAGCTGAAGCTATTTTGAAAAATGCTTGGTAAAAACGGCTCTAGTGGTGTTTTTGTTATAATTTATACTAAATTTATGAGGAGAAGCCATGTTTTCCCGGCTCCGTCTACCTAGTAGGAAAATGGCTCCGGCTTCTCTTGGCTTTTTCACCAGAGGTGTTTTCTTAGATGGTCGTTTGTCAGGGCTTTGGCCGAGGCGGCTGGAGACACTCTAGAAGCTCTGCCAAATAAGGCCTAAGTTTTCTCTTTTTTTTTTGGTATCAATATAGGCCAGATTTTTTGCCTAACTTACTTGCACTCACATGATTCTCTAGTTATTTCGTCAAGATTTCTTGCCTACTCTTATAGTATTTATATGGGCTTGTCCATGAATGGGATGTTTATAGACCTAGATCTACATACATGTAGTCATGCATGGACAGGGGGAGGGATAGGGGGATCTTTGTTTGTGAGAAATAGAAATAAAGTGTTTCTCTAGGTAATTAATTTACAATTTGATTTTTGACTTTAAATGGAAATAATATTTTGATGCAATAATTATATGTTTTGGTTGAGGCTACATATGGATAGGTCATAGATGTACATGAAATGAAGGTCTTGTATCTCTTTATCTAAGACGGGGACAAATTTATTGAAACCGCCAAAAATCGTATGTTGATTATATTAAGCAGACAAAGGCTGTATATTGACCAAACTATGACTGCAAAAACCACATAGTATGGCAAGATTCGAATATGATAACATCACACTTGGTCAGGTGACGTTTCATTGAGAATACTATACGATTTGGCTCCATGAGAGAGAGATATACGTTAATTGAAACAAGCAACCAAGAAACCATTGCATGTGAAGTAGAAGGTGCAGACGGGGTTAAAGAGTTTTAGAATGTCACTCATGTCATGATGGATGATGGTAGCGATGATGATGGGCACTAGCACAGAAAGGATTTTTAGAGCGAGCACCCCGGCCGCTTTATACGAGGAGTCAAAGGTTGTCTCGAAGTGCTGAGCAACACGTATCGGCTGCCAGTCGATCGCATGACGGATCAGGTATACGCAAATGTGTCGAAGTGTATCTTCGCAAAAAAAAAAAGGTGTCGAAGTGTATGCATGTAGCTCCAATTACGAACAAACCAATAACTTTATTCAAGCAACTACAATACTTCATCGAGACTTACAATAAAATAAGAAAGCATTGAGAAATATACTCATCGTCACATTATTGTCATTCTAAAATTCTATCGATTATCACAGGCAGAAAATTAAATGCCCCAAAGCCAAACCTAGTATATATTTGACCTAGCTAGTGCAGGTGCGTGTGTCGTCCGTCGTCCCTCTGCTCCATTTCAGTGCTGGTGCGGCGGGCACTGTGGGTTGCCTGTGTCATAGCTCCCGCAGGAGGTATGTGCTCCCGCTTGCAGTCGCTGCAGGTACAGGTACTTGGCGAACTGTATGATAGGATGGTCGCCGGAGGCGGCGGCGGGCAGCTCACCGCCGGTCCATTTCTTGTCTTCGATACGCCGCGCCGAACCCAGCGCAGCCAGCAGCATCAGCACTGCCATCATCAATGGCAGAACGTTAACGAACCTGCTCATGAGATGATCATGGCCATATCTAGCAAGCTCTTGCTTTGCTGCAGCAGTAGTGCAGACTTGGATCGGAGAACGAAGGGACAAAATAACTAGCTAGGGCTGCTTAAGTAATTAATCAGCTTGTTAGCTATGGACGAGCTAGCTTGGAGCGAGTGATCGATCGATATAATTTGTTGCACGGCTATATATAGCCATGCATATATAGGTCAAGCGCGTCTGAAAGCTTTGTGAAAATTTCATGCAAGATATAGTATAATATAGTTAGCTCGTTGCTTACGTGTGTACAGCATGTGGCTTGACACGAGACGACGTGAAGTGCCGTATAGACAGCGTCACTTGCGAGTACGAGCTAGTAATAATATAATAATGCGCTCTCACGCGGGTTCCCCAGTTCTACTGGCCTACCGGGACTGGGAGCTTTGAGCTTAGCTTGGGTGCGGTCTGAAGGCGAGCGAAAACTGCAATCTCCAGTCGCGAAACTTGAAAGAAATTGGGATCACCCAGTTCGTCGTTGCCGACATATGCCACCGTCCACCGGTTTCTCAGCTAGTCTGATGCGCTTGTGCATGCATGCATGGACGACGTCAATGCTGGCATGGGCTTCTATTGCGTCAGCATCTTGGCCAGCAAGGCAACAATGATGATGCGTATCAAGATAGGAGCAATTGCAGGCAGGTTTCCGTTAGGCATAATATACTCCGGGACAAGGGCTTGTTTATTTACCCGTAGCTTATACAATCCAGTTTATGTATGTATAGCTAGGTCCTAAAGAAAATAAAAGGTTGAAATAAGCTGTTTTATACTTAGAGCAGCTTGTAATAAGATTATACAAAATATGGCTTATCTAAGTTTGATTACTATGTTTTTTTTATATAACTGATTACAAAGTTGAAATAAGCCGGATTATAAAGGCTCTGTTCGGCTGCTCGTAAAGCCGCTTGTGCTGATTTGTACGGCTGATTTGTTGGGAGAGAAAAATATTGTACCATGGCTTATAATGGCAGCCGAACACTGCCTAAAAGGATAAACGGAATAGGCCCTAACTCTATTCCGTTAGGCTTAGGCCCAATCACAGATAAGAGTGTTGCTTTAATTTGGACAATATTGATTGAAATTTTTAGTGTAACTTTTGTTCTGGCCACCCCTCATCATATTCAACAATTCTCCCTTCTGTCTCAATATAATTGAAGGATTTTACATTTTAAACTTTGATTATAAATTATACTTTATGTGTCAAGCTTGGTTACTTTAAAATGCTATGGGAAGCTTTATAGTGAAATATATCCTAAGAGTATACTTTTGTCATGCGTTCCAAATATATCATAACCAAAAATAGTGATAAAAACATACAGATGGCCAAATGTCGCTTATTTGTGATTGGAGGCATAAAACTGCATACGCTGATTGTACTCTTATGAAAAGACTTATTATTAGTGAATATTACTCCGATCCCTCTCCGTTCCAAATTACAAGACGTTTTGACATTTCTATTACTATGTATCTAAACATAACTTATATCTAAATGCATAGCAAAAGCTATAAATCCAGAAAAAACAAAACGTCTTATAATTTGGA